CCCGGAGCGCGCGGCACCGGCCCCCCGCTCGCCTCTGCCGGTGCGTGGCCTCAAAATGCGCACTCGGCCTCCCCTGCTCCTTGCCTCCTTTCTGGGCCGTTTGTAGAGTCGAGGTTTGTCGATTTATCCCCCCGTTAAGGAGCACTTTCCAGCTGGGGTTCGGTCCCTGCGGCCTCTTCCCGCTAAAGGCGGAGGTGGCTCTGCCTTGTCGCCTGCCGGAGTCCCGCGAGCTGAGCAGGGGCTCGGGGAGGGAGGCCTCCCCCTCCAGCCTCCCCGGGAAGCAGTGCGGGGCTTGCGTGGCCCTCATCCAAGCTCCTCCTCGGCAGGCGCTCTATGGGGACACCGTCAGCGCGCTCAAGGACCTGCTCAAGAGCCTCCTGCGGAAGAACCTGACCCCCCACGGGCTGCAGGACATGTTTGCGGTGGGTGCCTGGCACGTGCGGGGCGAGCAGGGCGGTCGCGGCAGCGTCAGAGCCTCTTCCACCTCTTCTCTGCTCCCAGCTGGGCTTCCCTGTGCCCGCACCGGAGTTGTCCCTAGGACAGGGCTCCCCGGTGCAGCCGGACACGTCTGGCCATTCGGACTGGCCTGAGCCCCAGAGGTGCTGAGGCGGAGGCGGGGAGGCTGTTTAGGGTCAGCGTTGGACCCAGCACGGGGATCGGGGGACCTGGTTCCTTTTCCCCTGCAGCACCTGCTCCAGGATGTCGGGTTCCTTCCTGCTCTCACGTCTGGCGCTTTGCCTCGTAGCACCTGGGGCCCTGGATCAAATCTAGCAAGGAGCGGGCGCGCCGGGGAGCCGTGGAGGTCAGCGCTGCCTTGCTGGACTTCTACCTGGGCAAGCTGAAAGTCAGCGTGAGTGAGCGCAGGGCCTGGCGGCTCCCGGCGGGGCCGGCACGTGGCTCCGCGTTGCTGAGGGGGCCCCGGGCTGCCCAACGTGCTGGGGTGACCCGCACGGGCTCACGGCGCCTGCGTCTCGCCCCCCGCAGACCGTCGTGCCCTTCTACAACCTGGGTGTGCTCGTGGCGCTGTTCTCCCCGCGCTGCTCCGACTCCCTGGCCAGCGTGCGCCAGGACGCCGTCGACTGCGTCTACTGCCTGCTCTACATCCAGCTGTGCTACGAAGGTGCGCGGGGGTGCCCTGGCAGGGGGGGAACGGCCCGGCCCTGGCACCGCCACGGTCCCACCAGGCCGC